TAAAATATAAAAATAAATATTAACTTTTACTTTTCTTTTAGATTAAACATTTATAATAACTAACACCATTTTTGATTTTTTTTTAATCTATCATAATAATTCGAAAATTCATTAAACTTATTTTCATTATCAAGCTAATTCCTTTTTCCATTGCTATTTTCTGTTTTATATATTATTTTTATTTCCTTATAATTTATAAATCCATATTTTTCATTTAAATTTTCATAAATCTTTTCTTTAAATTCAAAAAAGTCAAAGGGTTTTTTCTAAGTGAAAAAGGCTATGATGAAGAATTATTATTATTTTTTACTTGCAATTTAAATTTAAATTGTTTTTTTAATAATAATAGAAGTGAAAGAGAAGTTAAAGTAGGAGGAATAGGTAAAGTAACAGATGAAAAATTAAAACTGTCTGATGAATTTAAAAGTAATAATTTCTCTGTTTTAGGAATTGGTAAATTATTAAATATAATAGAAGGTGATGTAGGTATAGAAGGTACAGTAGAAAACACTGTAGAAAATATAGTAGAAAAGGATTTTAATTTTTGTATTTCACGATAAGCTTTACTATTATATGAAAAACATAATGAATAATAAAAAGCTTTGTTTTATATCTAAATCTTTCTATACTATCACTTATTTTTTTTTATAAACTTAATTATTATTATTTAAACTAACTATTAAAATAACTTCTAAAAAATTTAACTGCATTTGTTCTATTTTTTTTGTTTGGTTTATTGATTTATCATAGTTATAAGTATTTACTGTTAAAATTTTAGTACAATACATATATTTCATATAAAAAAAACAAGTACCAATTTCATAAATTTTACAGATACTACATGTTTTTATTGTTAAGGTTATAATAAATATTATGATAATAATAAAGTAACAAGATTTGTATTTCAATATATATGCATGTTGATTGATTATTTTTTATTAATCAAATACAAGAAATTTGTGAATTTGTATATGAATTAATTATCATGTGATTGTCACCTGATTCACATATATTTGAAAACTGTAATAAGTGTTGTCCTTATCAAATGAAAAAGAAATCAAGATAAATACTTCACCAGAAATAATTTAATTAGCCTTATCTAAAACAAATATATTATTTATATCTCATTAACCAATTCCTATGATAAATCCAAATAAAATGTAATTTTTTATCAATATGCTATTGAATATGGGTTGTGATCTAAAAAAATCAAGTTCTGAGAAATTTTTAATTAAAATTAATATTTTATTATATTTTAGTCTAAATGTAACAAAAAATAAAAATCTCAATTTTGATAAAAAATTTTCAGAACTTGATTTTCTTAGATCACAACCCATATAATATTGATCCTGAGAAATATTTGATCATTATTGAAGCTGAAAAAAAAGATAAGATGGCAATTTCTTTTGTAATGTATTAGAAACTGAGATTTTATTGTAATATAATAGAGAAGAAAAAAAATCTTAGAAAATATCATAAATTTCTAATAGATTGTAAAAGGATGATTAGTAAAGAACTATTATATTGTAGTATTTTAAAGAGTTATAAAAGTATAATATAGCTAGATAATCTTATAAAAGAATAGAAAGACGTTCATATTTAGCTTATAGAAATCTTTACTTAAATATGAATAATATGAATATGAAATATTAAATAGAATAAGTGTCATATAAAATGATTACATGAAATGCATAGTATAATATCAGAAAAATTCTTGCTAAAGAATAAGACTATGTGACATAAAGTGTATATATTCACAATTATTTTTTTAATAAAAATGAACGTTAAATTTTTTTTTAAAACAAATATGCAAATAGAATTAATATACTTATAACATATTGCAGAATGAAGAAGTGTCAAACTTTTTTAAGATAAATTTAATGGTATTAATTTGAAATAAGACTAGTTATAAAGCTTACAGATACTAATTATATTTAACTTTTTAGGTAATTTTCAAATTCAAATATAAGGAATTATAACAATATATAAAATAGAGTATGATCAGCAAGGTAAAAGGATTTATATATTAAAATAAAGTAACTAATTATATGAAACTCAAAAAGAAAAGAGTTCATAATATTTGATGATGAGTTTGACTAGCTCTATGAAATTATTAGCAGAAGTATGTATAATTTTTATTATTTTCAATCATAGTTTTTAATATATATGCTATATCCAAGTATTATTATTTTACTTTTCTCTATTCTAACATCAAATTGGAATTTCATTATGTATATTATTAGAAAGAATCCATTACTCAAAATCTGACTATCATAGTATCTTTACCAAGAATTATTATATAAAACTTTGTTAAGTAATGAAAAAGATTATTAGAATCATAGAATTATAAAAAATAAAATTTAAGTTGATGATTCTTCAGATAGTAAAAGTATAAGAATAAAAACTATATTAAAGAATGATTGAGTAATCTAGCATCATAAGCAGTTATTTTACAAATAAAAATTTTAACACTATATATATATATAATTACATAATCAGCCATGGTTTATTTCTATATACTATTATTTTTAGATATACCTATACTAATGCAGGGTTATTTTAAAATTAGAATTAGCAAATTAATAAACATTAGGATTTCTATATTTGTTTCAGAGATTTTTGTGATTTGTGATGATTTTAATAATAAACTATAAAAGAATATTAATTATAAAAAATGCTAGGTCGTCTGAAAAGAGAATAAATAAAAGTTTTATACATTCTTTCAAACATATTATTTAAATATAAACTTTACATATGGGTTATGGACTAGCAAAATACCTCTCCGGTAAATTATTGCTTTTTTGAGAAATCAGAATTTTAACATTTTATCGTTTTCATTGTTTACAGTTTATTTTTAGAACAAAATGCAATATAATGATCAATTTATATGTAATGTGATACAAATTTTTATATTTTATGTCTCCTTAAACATTAAAAATGCATATTATTCCAATTTTAGATTGTCGATCTTTTTTGAAAAAGAAAGTTTTATATGAATATTTCGATAATTTATTATACGTTTATGTTCAAAAAATTAGATTATCATATAGTTAAGCATATTCAGCTTATATAAAATCATAAAAAATTATTTTGACAAAAGACTCGAAAGGGCATTTTGCTAGTCCATGACCCATATACTCTCAAAATACTTTCAAACTCTGATATATTTTTAATCATACTCTTTAACATCACAATTATAATCTATGAGATATTAATCCAAGATGTCCTAATAATAGAGATGTTTAAGGTATTTTTTTTAAGAAATGTTATAATATATATAATCTTTGCAAAAGTGATTATATTTTTACATAAATATTTATCTTCAGCTTTAATAAAGTCACAAGTCTTCAAACTCAAAAATTTAATATTAGCATTAAATAATAAAATACAAAAAATAAAAGGAGAGGAAAATGAAATTATGTATTATAAGATAATAAATATTCTGATTTTTAATTATTTTTTTTTGCATATATTCTTAAAGGTAAAAAATACTTACTTTTTTATTATCTATTATTAGTTTTATCTTGATTCTCTTTCAATCATATATCTACCAATCAATACTCAGAATATTTTAATGAAATACAAACTTTATGGATGGAATTTACAGCTTTTTCAATAAAGAAGAAGGGAGAAATGTTTATATACACAAATGTATAATATAATTTCTCAAGAAATTTGACTAAGTTTTGTGATTTTAACAAGTTTCTACCATCATCAAAAAACTTTGAAGATTGAATAAAATTGAAAAATAGGTTGAAAGAGAAGAGAAGAGAGATTCTAATAGTAGTAGTAATAATAATGATAGTGGTGCCAATTAGTGAAGCTAAAAAATAGGAGCAGTCATTATCTTTTGAGATGAGCTTTTAGCTTGACTGCAAGTGTTCTAGTATATCAGACTATTATTTAGAATGCATTTTCTATGCAACTTTATAAAATTTTTTTTATATTAAAAAATATGAAAAATATTTAATAAAAATATAAATTAGCATAGTAAGAGAATCTGTTTTACTTATTTATATCTTATAAATTTTTATGTTAGAATATTATTGAAAAAAACTAGGAGAATCTTTAAAATATCACTATATCAAATTTATAGTAAAATTTAAATAGTATAATCTTATGGTATAGAAATGTTTTACATCTGATAGTATTAATAACATATGCTAAATTTATGATCATATTAATAGTGATTTATATCATTAGATTTTGAAAAAAGATTAGACTTATTAGGTGTATGAAATGGATTAAAATAATATTATATTCTAATAATATAACAACCTAAAACATATTGTATATCTTACAAAATAATGGTTTAAAGATAATGTAATTAGGTTGCTTGGTTGTTACTCTGATCAAACATTTTTGGAATAAAATAGGTTATCATTTAGAATGTTTAAAAATACCAGTTAAAATACAGAATCAAATAGGATGCAATTCAAAAAATCTGGTTTGTAAAAAGTTGGTTAATACATATAAATGATGTTATTAGGGCAAATGAAAGTTATTAAATAATACAAATATTTTAAAAAATGATTTTTCATGTATTCTAAAGGTATTCATATATTTTTCCAGGTGATATAATTTATTAAATTGCTTTTAATAAAACGAATCTAATGGTAATTATTTCATAAAAATTGAAGTAATATTAAATTGTTTCAAATTTTAAGTTAGATTGGATCAATATTCAGATTATTTAAATTTTTATATAAAATGTAATTTAAAAAATCCAAATTTATTTTTTTGAATAATAAATTAATAATAAAATAAATATTTGTTTAATAATTGTGATAATTATGGCTGAAAATATAATTATTTAAATAACTTAATTTTTTAATATACCGGTTACGTGACAAATAAAAAAATATTCGATTATAACAGCCAATAAAACTTTTAGGGTAAATTAGTAAGTAAACTATATAATTAACATTTTCATTATGTCATTAACACGTTATTTTTAAAATGTAAAAAAAACTTTTGTAATAATTATTATTCAAAGTATATTACTTTGATTTTTCTTGAATAGCATTGCGTATACGTATTTCCAATAAATCACAATATACATCTTTTTCAACTACCTCTAACAAATGTTTTGTTTCTTTAAGAATTGCTTCTAAAGGTATCTCAAATCCTAATTTATCAAATATTATATGAATTAATGCTTCAATACTTTTTCTTTCTTCTCCAAGGTCATTATCTAATACAATTTTAAATATTTTACTAAGATTCTCTATGAATAAAGTCAAAGTTGATCTAAACACATTTTCTTCTGTATCAGGAAATGCTGAAGTAGAACAATATTGAAACCAAATTAAGTGTGATGACGCGTAAAAAGTAAAAATAAATAGCGTTGTAAGAGTTTGTAAATTTTTTAGCACTACAGATGAATTGGTTTGATGAGAGAAAGAAAATCTTGAAATTCGAAGTCGAGAAAATGATGACAACCAAATATCAAGTATTATTCGGTTAATTTCTTTAAAATCATCCTAAAAATAAAATTTGTTATTAAAAGGAGCAAAACAATCAATAATAAAATTATACGTTACCTTGTTCGATAAATTGGAATCATTTAAGAAATTGTGATATTTTTCTCTGCATAATCTGTGCAATAACGACAGAGTAAGAATCACTCTCATCATAAACCTAAAGTTATAACAAATAATAATTATAATACAATAAGTAAATTTATAACAACGTCATATATTTACATACCTGAACGGGACATTCATAGCGAATTCAGCAATATCCAATAGTAAAAGAACGATTTCATCTCTTTTTAAGGTTAAAAAGGTTTCATAAATAGGATTCCATTCGGTTTGATGTTTAGGTGATAGATTGAAAACATCAGAGTATTGATAATCTGAAATATCCTAGAATTTTTTACAAATGTTAATTTCTGTCAAGTAATAAAAGAAGATGTATATTTAATAAAAATTAAACCTGATTGTTTTTGAGATTTTGTGCAAGCTCTAACTCTAAAAGCTCAAGACGATCCAAATATTCGTTCACGATATTATTATACATTAAAGTTGCCAGAAAAGGCTTCAATTTCAACTTATGCATTAATTAAAAAAGTTAATTGATGGATTCATAGGTTACAACGGATCAAGCATTTTCACTATTTTAATTAACATACCGAATCAATTTCCTGGAATGTTATCAATTGTTCAAATCTTAATTGATTTAACAGAAGATCGATTTGGCAGGGAAATTCAGCTTTATAAATTTTAAACCTGATTTAAATAAAAAGAAGGTTAAACATGAACTCATATTTTAATATAATATATATAAAGCACCATACATAATATGAAGCGGGCGTAATTTTGTGATCTCTTGACGTGAAATAACCTATATAAAATCAAGTTCAAATTAATGAATGAAGCAAAAGCCGAATCCTTTTACAGTTGTGAATTTATTGCACACTTTATGAAGGTCCGATTGAAGTATTCGATATTCACTTGGATGAAGCGTAACAATATCTAAAATATTTTGACATGCATGTAATCTGATGACCATTGAAGAATTATTATAATATATTTATGAAATCAAACTATAAATGTTTAATATGCAAATATGCATACCTATGAGAAATAAGTATTTCTTCATTAGTAACATCTGGTTTTACTTTAATATCGTTAACCTTGGAAAATCCTTGTACCATTCGTAAGAGCTCAAGATCTTCATATAACAAAGTTTTCGATATCTTAAAAAGTAATTAAGCAAATAATTAGAATATTTACCAAAAATTGAAATAAAAAAATTTTTTTGTTTACCTTGCAAAATTTTTCAGAAAGAAAAGCACGAAAATTTTTAATTCTTTGAATTTCCGCAGCATCTACGTCGACTTCTTCGTAATTAATTGAATATAGCCATCCAGCCTGATCTCTTATAAATGATAGTAACCACTGAATTGTTTGTCCCGGTATTTCACTATCATCAAAAACTTGTATTATCAACAGCTCAAGACTTGGTCTGAATGGAACTTTTCACGATGTTAAACTTCAGAAATTTATTGATTATAATTCGTGTGAAATTAGACAGATTATATTTATTATACCGACAAAAGTTTTTCGGAAACTCGAATGTATTGAAAAATTTCAATATCGATGTGTATGTTTTGGGATTTGCCGATTCGCGTAATCTTTTTGCTAAAACATGAGCAAGAAAATTTCCATTGAACTAAAGAAGAAAATCGTAAAACAAAATAGAGCGTTAATATACTTTAACATTTCTCACGCGAATTTAATTTTATAATTACCGTTAAGTCACCGTCAGGCACAATATTATTTGAACAAATATAAGTCAAAAGGATGTTTTGATATGACTTATATGTACTATTATATTTTCAATAACATTAAAATTACAGTAATGGATTATTAAAGAATATTTAGTTAAATGCAAACCTTGGAAGCCTAGCGGCAATTTCAGGCGCGACCTCCCAAGTATGCAAATGTAAATAGTTATATTCTGTTGAAATTACAGCTTTTGACTCGACATGATCAAGTAGCAAATTAACGAAGGCTTCAGGTTCCATTTTTTGATGAACTAAAATTTAATCAAAATCATTTATATTTGTGATGGATAAACAAAAAAACCGGTTCCAGCTGCCAATAATTGCTTAGTAATGCTGATCGTAATATCGTTATCAATGAAAATCATATAAGATTTAAAAATCAATCAAAAACGTACTCATAAACTCTCTCCTCCATGTATTTGTCTGCACACAAGGCAACTAGAAAACTTGGAATCTCGTCAGACACCTTATGTATCTTCCATTTTTCCAGAGTTGACTTCCCAAGATGCCAATTACACCACCACCACCGCCGCTGCCACCACCACCAAAAAAGGAGTCCTCTATGCACGGGTCTCTAGTGTCAAGCAAAAAGAGGATCTTAAATGGCAGAAACAACTCCTCAGATCCTGATACCCAACCTACGAACTCATCAGCGATATTGGATCAGGAGTCAACTTCAAACGACCGGGACTTAAGACCTTATTGGAACGAACAAGTTGCGGAATGGTCTCAGAAATTGTGGTGACCGACTCTGCCGCTTTGCCTTCAATCTCATCCAGTATATACTCTCCCTCCATACTACAAAACTCGTTGTTCTCTTCAATGATGCGACATCTGACGAGCACAAACTTTTCCAAGATATCTGTCGAACGCAAGAAAGAAGAGCAGCTATGCACTGAAGAGAACGGAAAGCGAAAGATTACAAAAACAATAAACGCACGGAGCAAAAAAAAGGAAAACTGAAACAACTGTGAATCGAACATTATCAATCAAAATATATCCGAATCATTCACAGAAAAAGATCCTGAAGAGATGGCTTAGGTTAATAAGATATGCTTATAATACTGTTGTTAGATAGGACAAAAATCATATAAAGTCTCAAACACTTAATGAAAAACTTAAACTATATGTAGATGTAAAAGTAGGAAAAGATCCTGATGAAAAAGACAAGAAATTACAGAGATTATGTGTATGGGGAGAGCGTAAATTTCTTCGAACGGTTATATGGTTAGGATTATGTCTTAGAGGTCTACATAATGAGGTACCTGCAAATGTGATTGATGAAAGTATTGATGAAGCTTTGATGGCTAGAAAAAATGTTATACAAAAAAATTTAAAAGCTACTAAAAAATCATCATTATCTTTTAAATCTAAAAAGGATTTACAACAAACAATGACCATTCGTGCACAAAATTTTTCTAAAAAGGAATGGAACCATTTTTATGTTAGATATCTTCATAATTCTTCAACTTTGTCATCAGAACGGTATAAACCCAATGAATTAAAGAAAAGCGAGATTTGTGCCTATTTCATTTTGAAACAAAAAGAAAGCATAATAAGTGGTCATCACAAAAGATAGATTGTGATTGTAAGCTTACATATCTACAAAAGACAAATGAATGGATATTTTATTGGGTATATGAAACGCAAAAACAGGTCTGCGAAACACAAGCGGAAGTTCATATAGTTTCAATTGATCTAGAAGTTCGTACACTATTCACATGGTATTCTTCAACAAAAGGTGTAGGCAGGATAGGAGAATATGATATAGGTTGTATCTTTCGTTTATTAAAAATATGGATGATCTCATATCGAAAAAAGACAGACTAGCAAATTCAACCTCAAAATGAAAGAAAAAGAAAGCATTACGTGTTGACAAAGCTATTTTTCGTATGCGAAAAAAGATCAGACAATTATAGAATGAAATTCATTGAAAAACAATCAAGTTTTTAACTTATGAATTTGATGTAATTGTTATTCCCCCTTTTGAGGTTTCAGGTATGGTGAACAGAAAAACACGAAAGATAACAAAAAAAAATAGGTAGAAAGATGCTTGGTTGGTCTTATTACAAGTTTAGACAACGATTGATTTCAAAAGCAGAAGAGAAAGGAATCCATGTGATAATTCAAAATGAAGCTTATACATCCAAGACCTGCAACTGGTATGGAAACATTCAAAAAATTGGAGGGTCTGAGATGTACAACTACCGTAATTGTAGAACTGTAATGGATAGAGATGAAAATAGCGCTTGAGGAATCTTTCTCCAGGCATTGCTTGATGGAGCCTTGATTTTCTCCAGAGATCATGCAGGAAATAGTAGTTTTACTTAGCAATACTTAGTATTACCTATTATTGATGTATTACAATCTATCCGGAATTATGCATTTTTCTCATGATCTAATTACCGATATTTTTATTATAAGGATTAAAATTGCCATAGTTTTTTTTTTATATAATTTTTTTTTATATTATATGGGAGGTTTGCAAGGAAAATGGGGGGCTCTGAGCATTTTTTATTAAAATTTTAATTTTTATTGCATTTTAATTTTTGATAATGTTAGATTAAAATGCAATAAAAATTAAAATTTTAATAAAAAATGCTCAGAGCCCCATTTTTCTAGCAAACCTCCCAAATATTAATAATATAAGTTTTCATGATAATGATTAGGGAGATAAAAATGTAACATAATATTTTTAGCTTTAGGTATTAGTATGTATATCTTGCATAGCTTGCATAGGCTATTATAATATATAAGAGTTAGGGATTAATATTGAAAAGGTCAAAATCAATATTAGAAACAAAGAATTTACAGTCAATTTTAAAGTTTATTGTATATCACAATTAGCAATACTTGCTTTAAACAATTCTCCTTTGATAAGCTTTAATATATCAAACAAAGTAGAAGGCAATAAGAATTTAAGGTTAAAGAAAAATGATTGTAATAAATAATTAAATATTTTATTTTATTTTTATTTGTAATAATAAATAAATAACAAAGCAATAGAATAAAGATTTTTATTATAATCTATTATTGTTATATACTGTAGTATTGCATCAAGGATTGGATAATGATTAGACATATCTAGTAACTAATAATCAGTAATACTAAATCCAATTGATCTAATCATCAAATTGACGATTGAGCAGGTAGATAAAGAAGACCAATAAATATAAAAAAAAATTATTTATTTAATCGAAAATTTTTGTATATTTAATTAATTATTTAAATTTTATAATTTCGCAAATATATGTAGGTTCAAAATCAATTACAATTATCAAAGCATAACCATTTTAAATTTTAAAACCATTTAGAGTTTAAATTAAATCGGTATCAGTAAATGTGTGAATGGGGGATGATGATCATACTTTGATATGATAAACAGGTTAGGTCTATATTTTTTTCCCAAATTGTTTTTTATCTTCTATGAATTTCATAATGGTCATAGAGGCTTAGACAAGTTTTTGAAGGCTTATCGTTATATATGTGGAATGGCTTTGTATTCTTTTTTTTTTTATTTATAATAAATCTCATGTATTTAAAAAAAAATTTTTTTAAAAAAAAGCCCACCTTTTTTTTTCGAACGAAAACATTCACAGAATAAATCAATTATTAAACAAAATGCATAAATTGAAAAACAGATACTTACTTTTAACTATAATACTCTTCACATTTTACTTAACTTGTCAGAAAAATAAATCTTTTGTGGAATTCTTTAATGGTAAATATTGTTCAATGTATCTCTTTAGTTTTCATCTAACCTATATTACAAACTTATAATTAATTCATCTTTTTTTTTTAATCATTTCAAGAATTCGAAAAATTCAATACATTTGAATTCAGACGAGAGCACCTAAGAAACGATCCTAACCTTAACGTTAATATGAGTAGATACCCGCCGCATATCAACCTTCGTCCAAGTTCTGATGAATTACAATATGTTATTTCGGATTCCATATTAGTATGACATCGTGATCAAATTTATGATTTCCTTAAACGCAAACAATTAAAAAGATAGAATGTTCTTTTTTCTGATTTTTTTAAACAAAACGTATGTAGCATTTCACGTGCTTGAGTTTTTTATACCTTTTATACCTTTTATATATATATGTATTTACTATAAGTATATAACTCATACTAAATGATCTGATCAAATAAAATTCTTTTGTACATAAAAACGATTTTTTGAAACTTAACCTTTAATGATTACCTCAAAGATTGTCATGTGAAATCTAAACTTTGACATTTGATAAAAAATGTGTCTACAGTTGTTTATTATTAGTAGTTTCCAATATGTCATGTTTTCTAATAAATTTATAATTTACTTATCACTGATGATTTGTACCCAAAAATGGATTTTCAACTTTTACGACAAATTCCGAAGACAGGTTTACTGCGCCGCTTAAATTGTTAATACATCCGAAAAAGTTATTTGTCAAAATTACGATGCGAGATTAATTATTCACATTTAATGTCCGACATAGCCTCATTCAAAGCCACGCATTTCTATCGAATCAATAATTTTTTGGTACATATTATCTCAATACCAAAATTTTAAAGCTTAAAAAATTTGACAAGAAAACAATATTTGTCAAAATGTTTTTAAAAATTGAGAAATGAGTAATTAAGTTTCCTCATGGTATGGCGTCTAACAAAGATTATCATCAAAATTCACATCTTTTCATGGAAGAAACAATATTTTTACAGTATATCATTCATTGTCTATTTTCATAGCCACAAAATATTTGCAAAAAAAGAGCCATGCTAAGCCACAGTACGAAATGTCAAAATTTTTAACCTTTATCAACATTTGCCGCCGGAGAATGTAATAAAATTTTTTATTCTTCATAAAATATTTGGATAGGAGGTGGCTTTAACTCACATTCTCAAAGAAGGAAATATCATAGTGAACGATTGCGGATCGATAAATTTTCGATATATTCTAGTTAATAAACAAGTTTCCAGGTCCTAAGCCTAACCAAGCCTGCTTTGCTAATAATATATCTTTTTTCATTTTCAGTTTAATTAAATTTCTTGAGAGCAGGTTAAAGTTGATTTAAGGTAAATTTCCCAAATGCAATCAAAGCGGTAAAAATCGCCATCGTAATTTCTACTTTTTTATTTGTATATGAAAGGAGGCTATCCATTCAAAAGGAAAGGAAAAAATAATTTTCCAGTTTACCTTTTGGAATGCAAGATAATTTGTTTAATTTGTTTACAAAAAGAAAAAAAAAAGAGGCTTTTTTTCATAAAATTAACGTTTTGAGAAATTATGCATTCTTGAATGAAGTAAAAATAAAGCACAAAAAATATATTCCTTGAAAATATTTTTACCAAATTTTATATAAAAACCCATACGCTTTCCGTTCAATTTTTTTCCTTCACTTCATATAATTTCAAAAATACCAATTGAATTAATAAAATGAAGTTCAATCAAAACCTCATACTGCTGGCATTGCTTGCCATCGGCTCTTCCGCAAGTGGTAAAACATAATAGAATTGCAAATTTGTCTATATTTCGAAACTCTCTTAATTGATAAGTACTTGCGTTTATATAGTCATAAAACGAGAGCCAATTCCAACCGCAGTAGCCGACGCTTACAAAGAAGAATATGATCCTTACAAGCAAGGCGGTAAAGACTACGATCCTTACAAGCAAGGTGGAAAAGACTACGATCCTTATTATAACCCTTATGTAAAA